AAACATTCACTGAAAGTATCATTACCAATAAAAAGGCATGCAACTACAGACATATCAGAAAGTAAACCATCACACCAATCTTTTTGATGTTGTTTTGTTCTCTGAGCTGGATGGTTAGTTCGCGAAGCTTTCATCACCTTACTGGGTGACATCCTCAGCGCATACTTCAATTTGAAGTGAGCTTTTAGATTTCTCCACGAGTTTATTAATCATCTCTCCTGGTGACCTTGGACGTGATGGGTTGTTTGTGTGTGTTTTCACACCTTCTAGGTTACTTGTATTGGAACCGGTTGTTTCTTTGACTTGAACTTTGACCCTTTGTGTGTGAAGTTTCTTCCTTATTGGTTGATAAATTTTGTCTATCTCGATGTGTCTATTGATTGATGATTCTCTGGAATACCAGCAAGCTTCTAAAAATTCTCTAGCATTCTTGTTATTTCCTCTGTCTAATATTTGAACGTTGTCCCAGTCGAATTGATGTCCGTAGTTGCGATCACTCCATCAACTCTGCTATCCGATTCCTAGAGAAAATCAGAGGCATCCAAATAGATGAACAAGAAATAATGGTATCATTCGACTTGACAGCATTATATACAACCATCGGACAAAACTTAGCAAAAGAAACCATGGAGCAATTACTTAGCAACGACGAACAACTGCCACAACAATCGAAAATGCAACACTCAAGCTGGATGGAATGCATAAATCTATGCCTAACAACATACTTCCAATTCAACGGCCAAATATATGAACAAGTCAAAGGAACACCCATGGGATCGCCAATATCAGGTTTGATTGCAGAAGCAGTGATGCAAAGACTCGAAAATATAATTCTACCAAAGATCAAACCCAAGATTTGGATACGCTACGTCGACGAAACATTTGTAATCATCAAAAGAAACGAATTAGATAAAACTCACAACTTAATAAACAACGTCTTCAACGACATCAAATTCACAAGAGAAGAGGAATCCGAGAACAAAATACCATTTTTGGACGTCTTAGTCAAGCGAACAACCACAGGAGAATTAGAAACTCAAGCTTATAGGAAATCAACTCACACAGACCAAATACCGAATTACAACAGCAACAACCCAATAACAGACAAAAGGAATTGCATGCAAACACTATTCAAGAGAGTAAGGACTCACTGCAGCACTCCCACCTTAAGAAAAATTGAAGAAAAGTATCTCATGGACGTCTTCCAAAAGAATGGATATCCACGGAATTTCATCAAGAGACATATACCCCCAAGCCAACCTACCAAAGCAAAAGCCACCAAGGAAAGCACAAAGAAAATTGCCTTACCATATATAAAAGATATCTCAGAAATCACTACAAGACTCTTCAAACCTTTAGGAATTGACGTCGTACAAAAACCAACAAAGTCGCTGCACTCAATTCTATGTCAACCGAAAGAATCAACAACGAAAGAAGACAAAACCAACATCATCTACAAAATAAACTGTACCAACTGCGAAAAACACTACATCGGCCAAAGTGGACGTCCCCTTCGTCTTCGTATCCACGAACATAAGCTAGCCGTCAAAAGACATGATATCCACTCCCTCATTTCACTACACACAGACAACTACGGACATCAATTCGACTGGGACAACGTTCAAATATAGACAAAGGAAATAACAAGAATGCTAGAGAATGTTTAGAAGCTTGGTATTCCAGTGAATCATCAATCAATAGACACATCGAGATAGACAAAATTTATCAACCAATAAGGAAGAAACTTCACACACAAAGGGTCAAAGTTCAAGTCAAAGAAACAACCGGTTCCAATACAAGTAACCTAGAAGGTGTGAAAACACACACAAACAACCCATCACGTCCAAGGTCACCAGGAGAGATGATTAATAAACTCGTGGAGAAATCTAAAAGCTCACTTCAAATTGAAGTATGCGCTGAGGATGTCACCCAGTAAGGTGATGAAAGCTTCGCGAACTAACCATCCAGCTCAGAGAACAAAACAACATCAAAATCATCCACCTGAGCTACAAATCTTCTCTATCATATCCAAATCACCCCAATCAGTATGAAGTCAGTTATCTTGAGTTACAAATCAGCATTCCTAACTTTCCTGTTCGTACCTACAAACTATCAGGAGGGTTCAAAATTGAAATTAAAACCAACTTAACAGGTGAGATTAGCTAAGAATATTTACTGGATAAATGTGAAGTAAGAATTCAAAATAAAACTATTTACCGATGTGAGTTTCACGCTGTTCGAGAATACATTTATGAAGGGAATGCTCTTCTTGGAACGGACCTGTGTGTAAATGTATTTAAACATCATATCAATTCATGCTTATTATCTTGGAAAAATAGTGCTAGATAAATATTTGAAAAATGTGAATAGATTCATGGAATGCGGTCCATCTCAGGTATCCTCCTCAACGGTTAAATTATATACTGGATGCTGACAAAGTGACAAGAACCACACATAAAAATCAGTTGTCATAAAGTCAATTCACCATATAGGTCAGCGTTTTTGAGTGTGTATGCCAAACCTGAAAATACAGAAAATGATAATCAAAGTTGAGAGATTATGCAAAAGAATAGTTTCTAATACAGCACTCATCACAGCCTCTTTATTCCCTCGCATACTCAAGGATAATTTCTCAACATCTTCTACTGGTTATCAAAATGGAATGACACTGACCACACGCAATTACCCAATTCTCATAATATTAAATAAGGGCGAAATTGATTCTCTTCAAACATTCGTTTCCTGTGAGGTTGTTTTCTATCAACTTAGGAATAAATATCTCTATCGGTTGAATGAATTCTGATTTCCATTGGAATTGCTAGCTGACTGATCGAAATCGAGACTTCAGCGCTTTTAATTGATGCGTGACTACAGGGTTTTGAACATGTGAATCCAAATGAAATGATCACATAATATGTACGTTAAACTGGGTTGTAGATTGAAGCAAGTTGATAGCATGTTGAAGAAAGCAGAATTGAAATTCCCTGAACACGTATCCTTCAAGCCACAACCTCAATGCAAAGCGTTCCTCTTAACACTTAATCAGTGAGGAATCTCATAAGATAAGATAACTGTTTCAAGTCTGACAGTGTAGTTGCATATTTGTCAGATCTCACTGAAGTGTTCTGGTGGCTACTTCGTTCTCTCTAACTCAGAAGTAAAATGTTATATACAAGTACAATAACCGAATCTCATGTGATAAATATGTGGATAAAAGTAGTATACACAATTGACATAAATCTTGGAACACACCTGCGAATAATCTAGCTCCCAAATAGGGTTCGTTAAAGTTTCTTAAACAGTTGACATCTGAAAGAGTTTGTTAGTCATCGAAATTCCCAAAAATGTTCACTTACATTTCGTGGTGTCGTTGCCTGTTTTATGATTAATCATATCTAGTAGAAACAAGAGAATTGAGGAGAGCGACTTCATTAAACGGGACAGCTGTATTAGGTTAAGCATTCACTATGTAGAAAGCAGTGAGCCAATCAGTTATTATTGAAGCATGCATACACAGTAATGTATTCACTTTACAATAAAGTAAATATCATCAGTATGAGTAAAACTTTTTTTTATTTTTGAATACAGCTTGATTCCACACTGTAGTTTTGGCACAAGTATGGAATTTTCAGCGTGGTTATCGGTAGCCCAAATTTCGCAGGTCGACCATAGATATCAGGTGTGCATCGGTGAGGAGCATTGTGGGATAGATCAAATAAAGTATAATTATATTTCAATAGTTTACATACAATGATAACTGTTTTGTTATTGGTAATATTTCGAGCAAAATTACTACTGCCCGTGTTCACACACCAACTGTTGGAATTGTTTTATTCACACATGTATGATTTGTACTCAAATATATAGTTCACTATTATTATTGGTATGTTGACTCAATAAAATTCACTATGGAAATAGAGAATGAAATTGGGTAACTGCCTTTGTTAGACTGCAAAATACAAAGAACGACAGATGGTAGAATAAAAATGACGATATAGAGGAAAACCACACACTCTGAAAGATTCCTTGATTATCACTCTGATCATCCACTCACAGTAAAACGAGGATTAATACAAGGTCTTGCAGATAGAATACGTTGACTTACAACAACACCGGAGGACCAGCGTGAAGAAATAAAAGTCCTATTCAAAATGCTACTCGAAAACAACTACGCTAAATAATTCACAAAGCATAATATAAAAAAGAGAAAAAAGAGGGTAAACCGGAGAAGAACAAGACGGAGGAGTGGAAAAAAACAGTCACAATACCATATAAAAATGGTACATCAGAGGCAATTCAAAGAAACCTCAAGAATATCGGCATTCGAACAACGTTTAAACCGACGAATCTAATCAAAAATAAAATAAATTCGCTGAAAGATCCTATCAAAATGATGGATAAAAACAATTTGATTCATAAAATGTCTTGTGCTGACTGTCTGACTAAATATATGGGACAGACGGCCAGATCACTCAAACGTCATACCAAACGTCAACCAACAGGAACACAAGCCTTCAAGAATCTTGAAAAAAATTCATCGATAGCTGCACATGCATGAGACAAAGACCACAATATCAATTGGAGCAGTGTGTGTATTCTGAAAACTAACATGACCAAATGGAAAGAGAGACTTATAACAGAATCTGTAATCATTAAGGTCAAACTGGATACATGTAACAAGGGTGACTCAGTACAACTACCAACAACTTGGAATATAATTCTGAATACAAGAAAAACATGAGTGAGCAAAAAATTGATGAGCTATATATATGGGCACAAATCATAAATGTGTGAATAAAACAATTCCAACAGTGGTGTGAACACGAGCAGCAGTAATTTTCCTCAAAATATTACCAATATCAAAACAGTTATCATTGTGTGTAAACTTTATTAAATGTCATCAGCATGAACGTGTGCAATTTCCAGTTGGAGCGAGTGTGAGTGGATGTGAAGTGAATAAGGAGATATGCAGACGCGCGTTGATGAGTTCATCACTTTTCACATGACATTATTATTATAAATCTCGTGTCAAGCTCCTCCATGTATTCACATTACTTAAACTCAAAGGTTGTCTACGAATTGGACGATGGGGAAAAAACTCGGAACAAAATATGACAAATATTTCATGCGAAGACGAAATGCATAAATCAAGTTAACCAAGTCATCATATCATGCACATGAAATAATTGTTTACATGCATATTGAAAAATCTTGGCTTCTTTTTCGAGAACCAAATCAGCATATTTCTGTTCAACACCTATGAAGGCGAAAGTGAGAATCATTTATTATACAGCACAAGAGACGGATTATTGTAAGCGACAGAATGTGACAAAACATCGAGGAACAATATGTACACAAAAGCTTGTGTAGGTTAATATAAGAACAGTGTTATTATGTATCCACATGAAGTCAGTCATCTTACCTTGAGACCTCCAAAGTTTATTTTTAATGACTTCTAACTTAGTTGACTGGCCTTAAAAAATGATAAAATGAGGAAAACAGCGATTATTGTTCAAACCGAAACACGTATATATGATGTGAGAATGTGTTCATTTCGAACATCTAAATAGCTAGGTTGGTGGATATGTGATGCTTTCGATTGGTGGTCAGCAAAAGATCATTTGGAGAATCAAACTTCCCTGAGAGCAGAGAATACAATCTTTACTCCACTCACTTCCTATTTCAGAAATGGAGGGATCGTCGACATAGAATTATTATTCGTCATTGACAGAGAGTGATGACTTCAGGTGACACTGCGAGTGGTGTTGGAAACACAATCAGTTTCCTTTCAGAAGTATGATCATTGAATAGTCTTGGATAACACCGATAGGATAGAACAATATCATTGATGATAATGCAAAAAAGGTTTATTTGAAAATAAAGAGTCACAAATGCACAATCATTTTAATATAGGCTTACTCTCGTTCATGGTGGCAAACACCAGCAGCGTTATCACAGATATGTAACGGTACATTGAGTTGAACATATTCTCTGCTTCCTTTGTTTTCTCTGGTTCTACTTTACAGCTTTTATACTCTTGCTGATGGTGAGTTGTCGTGTTGTAATGCATACGTCGGTTGATAAGAATAGTAGTGCTTATCTTGTTTTCCATTTGTTAAATTAGGCCCTGTGTGTTGATTAGTTGTTGGTGGTTGGTCAAAAGAGTGAGTGTGTGAGTGTGTGTGTGTGTGGGGGAGGGGGTTGGTTGGCGTAAGTTCAGCATGACTTTAGTATTCTTGGTTTCACGCTAGAATGACTATTCTCTCCTATAGAACAAGTCGGTCTTATTCCACAATTCCTGCTGGATGTGGATGAAACTGAAGAGTAAGCGCAGTGTTCATTTATGTGGATAATATATGACAATTCAGTGAGGAAAGTTTTCCTTATCGACGAAGCAATCTTCTGCTGATGCAGAGTCCTAATTGCATTTACCGAGAATGTACAGTAGTCCATTATAGTGTAATATGGGTGACGTAATTGATAAATGTACTTAGAAATGACTTCAAAACTAAAAAACAAACGATTAATTGCGTGATACTGAACAGTGCCAAGGTAGAGAGAGTTGGAAATTTGAAAAGGTTAAAATTGTTATTCAGTTAGCAGAAAGGTAGATGAGTTTCCATTCAACAGGTGTGGAGACGATCAGAAAACGTGCAAAATGAAAATGTTAGAGTGACAATGGTGAATCTATCATTATAGTAAACGCAAATAAATCATTTTAAAAATAATGAATTTACAAGGAACAACTAATGAAGAGGTTAAGACCACGGTCGATTAAGATACTTGACAAACGTTTTCTGCACACAGAGTTTGCTGTTTTACTGGCGAATGGCCAACGCAAATGTCGAAACCTAACAGCCTTTGTACTATTTGACCTCACATTGTAAATAATATTGAAAGACGACTCTGACGGAGTTACGTGACTTGAATTCGCCAAGTGCTTGACATTTGAGGTAGTTTTTGATGTGGTTTTGTTCTCTGAGCTGGATGGTTAGTTTGCGAAGCTTTCATCACCTTACTGGGTGACATCTTCAGCGCATACTTCAATTTGAAGTCAGGTAGTATCATCCATACCCTACCTAGCTCGTGTTCTGTGCGATAAAGAAAGCATTAGGCGTGAAACCTTTAACTTATTAAATAGTCAGTAGAACAACTGGATCTCGTCTTTCCAACTCACATCATTTACAGGTACAACATTTTCTCTCTACCATTTTTTTCTCCTTTTGTGTTTATTTTTGTTATGTGCCGTTTTGTTTCTCTATTCCTTACAAACTCTACTTAAAACACTCTTGTTCGTTCTTTTACACTCTGTATATCTCGACTATTTTGCTATCGCTTACATCAGTAAATATGCTAGTAGTATCTACTTTTCTAACACCTTCAAACACTCTGTTTAAATTTTGGCTTTGCTACCGACATGCTAATATGTTGTTGTCAAAACTGATTGAGATAACTTTAATCTATGTAGAACTTTATTTATTGGTAATGTACTAACTGGAAGCAATATTGTAGTAAAATGCTGAGAATTCCATTCTGTATCACAAGTACTGATTTGGAATAAAGCTATTATTTTATCTTATCTTATCTGAATTGCATTATCGTTCTACAAACGAAGCCAGCTAATGTTCACAGATGTGTTTGGAAAGTGTACACATCGTGCTGCCAATATAACTACCTCGAAAGGAACACACATTGAATTGATGGCTGTTCATTCTTCACACATCCACTGATTATTTGTCAGCTGTAGACATTGACCCGGAGCCCATTTGAAAAGAAGGCCTTTCTAGGTGAAATTGATACGCTGTTGTTCAGATTATTAGCTGCCGCATGACCTCTCAGCTCAACGTCCATCAGTTTTTTCGCACCGTTTACATTCCTTCAGGTTTTCGCATTAATTTCGTGTTTTCCTCGTTGAATCTCGAAGGACATCCATATTCATGAGAACACACCTGATTCTCTCCATTTCACCATCGATTTCAACAGTGAGAATTAGTCTTCTTATTATTGAGGATAAGAAGTGGATCAGAATCGGCTATCTTCCAAAAGGCATCAAATTATGCTAATTCAGGTATCGAACATTCGATCTGCATTTCCTGTAGACTGATTTTCAAGAAAACCCTCAAATCCCCGTTTAGATCCCCCTCAAAATGCATTCGGTATTCAATTTTGCATACACTTCATTCAGAAGTATTTGCGGAAATGAAAACTCAATTCCAAATAATCAAAGTGACAAATGATATCTGTGAATACTCGCTACATCATAACTCCCTGCAGAATGTGAGTCGCGTTCAAGACTTCACATAACGAAGTGTAATAAGGTTTCGTGTAGATTACATTGTAAATATGCCTTACTCGTCGTGAAGTGACTGTCACTCAACCTGTTTCATGTCAAAAGGATGGTACAACTTCAATACTTAGACGTCAATGACCTGAACATCTTGTGTGCAATTGGAAGATAGAAGAACTCGGAACACATCTTCTATGATTATGGAGAGATACATCCCCCAACACACATCAAGCAGAAATTTTGTCAAAGGATTCAAGTAGGAGTAAGAATGGTGACAGTGGATTTTCAGAATATTTTGCTTTAATCGGTGTTGCATGAAATATATTCACTAGATCTCCTTTCACATGTAGACTGATGGAAATATCGCTTAACTGAACACCACCTGAAGGTTTTTGTAGTGATCTGTGAAACACTAGACGCCAATGCTCAACAGACTCGTCCGTTGGCCTTAGACATGGGAATAACAAGTGGCATGGCTAATCCTTGGAATATTTCAGATATGAAATGACTAAAGGAATACCTAAGGACAACATAGGGTGACCCTTGTGTTTTCAAACTGATCATTGCACGAGAAATTGTGAGTGATGATGTAACTGTCTTAGGATCCAATATTCCCACTGCAAGCCGAGTCACATCCCTTATTCAATATCAGCCAGCGATATCTGCAGATAATTCTCAAAATAAAGTGTGCATCACTACACAGCAATTCTGTTTGAAATAACGTTAGGATTACTGTGTTTCACATAAGCGAAGTGAAGTGAAATGAAGATAATGAGAATGTTTGTGTGATAACTAAACATCTACAAAATACACAGGAATGTCACATAGATAATAAAACGTATTTCATTTCAAAGAATAAATCACGCCATATACTTCTGTAACAAAAACAACGGAGTATTGAGAGGGGGACACAGACCAGAAGAGTTGCTCTCTCACACATAGACTGGTGATCATTGATCATGATTATTCATTAGCTGGTGGCTTAATTAATAAAATCTGTCGTCGTACGACTGGACATGCCACGTTTGTTAAAAACAACATTGTTGTAATTGATGCTGACAAGAATTTTAGAGGTCACTTTCTTATTCAATAATTTGTAAATTTCATCATTTTTTATATTTTATTTATACAATTTCAACTAACTAGAGCTAGTAGAGTTGTAGTTCTTCAGTAGTCTTATTGGTAATACTGGTTGTCGCTCTTACACTGACATACAATCACACGCATATGATGGAACATTCATGCTGGTTTCGTCTTCTTCTTCCTCCTCATATTCCAATAAGGAGAGAGTTGGTTAACGACTTGGAAGGTCGATCAGCCCACTGGATATTGAGATATCCGTTGGGAGCGTTGTTTTGGAGAGTGATGATTACTTCAAAACTGAAGCATGCAGTTGACAGAAGATTGTCCGCACTCACACCTCAACGATGTATCTGCAATATTCATGCACACTCGAGATTTCAATGAACACGGTAGGTGTCAAGGAAGTTAACCGTATGTTCCCTATGTTCTGAAGAGGCTCGAATCGACACTCATACTACGTACACTATCGACTCTTACTTCAAAACACAATGAATGACAAGAAATTGTATTCTTCAGCGGTTACAATCAATTCTCTTTATGAAGTCTATCAACAAATGTTTAACAATGAATGTATTGTACTACCATTCGTATTCTCTCGTCTTCTTACAACTTCTAAACGATTGAATCACTCCGCCAATGGCGACCAAGTCCAAAAAACCATCGTTCAATGCTCACAGTCATTCACAGTAGGTATTCTCGTCTTTCCTCTCAGGTTGCATTCATACGTCAACGTCCCATTGATGGCATGTCACCTTTTGACTTATTCACACTGATTGTTTTTCTTCCTAGTTTACCACAAATCTTGAGGCGTCTCATTGTCCTTCTGTGATGATAACATTGGTAGTGTATTGTTATGCGACTGTGGTTGTGTTTGTCGAATTGAGTATGACTCAAATCTCGGAATGTTTGTGATAAGTCATTGACATTTCACAGCTGATGAAGGGGTATTTTTAACTATTTCTTATTTTTATATTATTATATCCTTTAATTCCTGGAGGAGCATAGGGCTTCAGCTGCCATTGCCATCTGTTTTCGGCCAACTTTTCATTTCGCTCCATATCTCTCCACATGCTTTCATCTCCTCTTCTCATCTTCTCCTCCATGTCACCCTTGAAATAACGACCAAGTCGGCACTTCCCTTTCGGTTTCTATTCGAGCAATGGCCTCTCCCGTAAGGTCACTTGATATTTTCCTCAGTGTATGACCAATCCATCTCCATTTCTTCCTGCATATTTTTTCGCAATAGATTCCTGGTTGGTTTGCTCATGACCAGAGATCCCTGTTGCTGATCTCTTCTGGCCGGCCATCCGATCTCGAGTATTGAGCGAGGACAACTGTTGATGATGGTGTGGAGTTTGTTTGAAATGCTTTTTATGACTCGCCAAGTCTCTGATCCGTAAAGTAGCACTGACTTCACATTAAAGTTGTAAATCCGGATCTTATTTTTGTTGCTGAGTGCTGTTGACCTCCACAGAGATTTGAGAGTAATGAAAGCTTGTCTTGCTTTTCCGATTCTGGCTTTGATATCCTCGTCAATTCTGCCTGTAGTTGAAACGATAATTCTCAGGTACCTAAATAAGGTTGTTCCTTTCAGGTTCTTCCCACTTATGCTGGCTGAATGTTGTCTGTAGTTGTTGCTGTTGGTGTTGGCCAGGAATTTCCATCACCTCTGTTTTATTTATTTATTCCCTTGAAGTGCTATCTTTTATGCTTTTTCTGCCAGCTTGTTGCTTTTCACTTGC